TATACCTTCATCAACAATAAAATAAATCTTTTTCAAAAAATCAAAAACTTTCAGCCAAGCATGGTGTAGCATACCTATAATTCCAGCTACTGCGGAAACTGAGGCAGGAGGATCAGAAATTGGAGGCCAGTCTTGGCAACTTAGTAAGACCCTGTCTCAAAATAAAAAAAAAATAAAAAGGTCTGGGGATATAGCTTAGTGATGGAGCACCCCTGGGTTTAATCCCTAGTACCACAAAAAAGGAAGAAAGAAAAGACAGACCTTGGGGCTGGGATTGTGGCTCAGCGGTAGAGCGCTCACCTAGTACAGGTGGGACCACATAAAAATAAAGGCATTGTGTTGTGTCCATCTACACCTACAAAATAAATGTGGTTTTTTTTTGTTGTTGTTTGTTTGTTTTAAGGCAAACTTTTCAGAGGTTTATGCAGCCACATCAAAACAGGAGTATGGAGCAGAAGTCAGGAGATTAGGTAGAGGTTATCTTATTGATTTCAATGCCCACAGTACTCTTATAAAGCAAATGTGGTTTTTTTTGGGGGGGGGGGAGGACGCAGTGGTACCAGGGATTGAACTCAGGGGCACTTGACCACTGAGCCACATTCCCAGCCCTATTTTGTATTTTATTTAGAGGCAGGGTCTCACTGAGTTGCTTAGTGCCTCACTAAGTTGCTGAGGCTGTGTGATCCTCCTGCCTCGGCTTCCCTCAAAGCTGGGATTATAGGTACCACTGCGCCTGGTGAGCATATGTTAATAGCACCAAATTCAAGTAGAATATTAAAGCTTATTAAGCATAAGTAACTTTCCCAGGATCTCAGAGGTAGCAAGTGATGGAGCTGAGGCTTAAGCCCTGTGAGTGTGAGTTCAAAGCCCTTGCTGTTTTTCATAACCTCCGCTTCCATCTGGGATCTAGTCCTGATTCTGCCAGAAACTTATATTGTCTTATATCTTACATATAAGAAAAATGCAGTCAATAGTTAACTATTGAATGGGGAAATGGGTGAATAGATGGATTGACAGAATTGGGAATTTGAGATGAGAGGGCAGATGAGAGGACTACTTAGAGAAGCAGAGGACTCAAGACCCAACAGATAGCAGAAGATGAAAGGTAGCACTGGCCAAGTTGGGCTTGGGAATAGTGCTGGGCTGGGAACAGTCTCCTAGTCATGCAGGAAAGGTAAACACAGCAAACAATGCTTGATTGTGTAGCGTTAAATCATGCTTTTCTAAGACTGCCACACAGCCCAACTGCTGTGTAATTTCACTTTTGTTAATATTTTACAATATTAAGTTTGAAAAGATACCCCAACACTCATTGGGTCACAAAGTTTTGCTAAAATGGACACAAAGTATCAGTCTTGGCTATACTTGGAGTCCTGGTGTGGATGTGTGGGGGTTGTACTGGGTTATTTATTTTTTTTTAAAGCAGAATATAGGTCCCCCAGTGAGTGTTAGTGTCTTACAGTGCCATGATGACCTCAGAAGCTTCAGTCCCCATTTCTGGACTTTGCTGTTGCTCACATCCCTTGAAACCTTCCTGGGGAATTGCCTTCAAGCTCTAGACATTCTTTTGTATATATCCAAGGATGTCCAAGCTTTGTTCTCCAAGGATAAAGATAAGGAATAAAAAGTTAACTCCACATTGTTTGTATAGCTAAAACCTCTGGGAAATAAGTGTTGTATGCAGGTGGGTGAAATAAGCTAGGCGACACTGGTGTGCATTCCTAGCTCCGGCAATGTTGTGTGTGTCATGGTTTCCCAGCTTGTGAGAATGGGTTACATGTTGGTGTTTCTCCAGATTTCAGGGCAGCTGGACAGGGTCTTGACAGCCTGAGTCTTCTGGGAGCAGCTTCTTCTACTTGTCTCAGTGTGCTTTATGAATATCATATTCCACATGTGCCAGGACACAAAAGAGACTGGGAGGCACTGGGATGGGCTTTCCAAATGCCTATCATTTTTATTTGTTGTTTCTCTTTCTGAGAGACAGCACCTGCCTTCAACCATCCCAGCAGGGATCTGTTGCAGAGTCCTCCCCACACCATTCTCTTGGCTCATTTCCCCCCTCACTGTCATTGCTAATGAGAAGGGACAAGTTCCTTGTTTTCTATAAGCTGATTTTGTATGTGTGTTGTGTGTGCCTATTTTTGCCCTTTTTCATTTTCCTAAAACTGGCAAAAACTCCAGAGTGTCATTTGGCTAATTTTCTTTTCTTTTGCTTGCCCTGATGTAGTGTCTGTAGACTAGATGGTTATGAGAGGCTCTAGGGACCTGTACACCTTGCATTTGTGTGTGTGAATTCAACACACTGAGAGACAACGTAGAGTGCAGATTAAGAACATGGATCTCGGAGTAGGGATCTAGATCTAGCTTTGTAAATAAAATTTTTTTTGGAACATAGACTTGCCTATACTTTTACATCTTATCAATGCTGCTTTCTCACTAGGACAAGGTGAGAAAGATTAGGGCCATCTCCCTCCCAGTATGGAGCTCACTTGGACTGATTCAGTCTCTCGATTCATTGCTACATCAATATACATATGTTGTCTCTCATGCTGATAGTGACATGCTACCATGAGGATGCAGCCCACACCAGATGTTGGCAGGTGTGCAATACCCAACAATTCTGTGTGCTCATCAGCCACTTCAGTCTTTAACTAGCTCCCTTTGCCTGCCCTGTGACCCCACAGATAACCTAATCATCTTGTTTGGGTGGAGATCTTGTTAGAATACAGATTCTGGTTCTGTGCCTCTGGGGTAGGGCTTGAGATTCAGCATTAACAAATATTCCAAGGTCATGCTGATGGTGCAAGTTCTGGGACCACAGTTGGCCTTTAAAATCACCTGAATCTTTAAGGTGAATGTAACTTCCTTGGGCTTAAATCTGAACTGTGCCATCTTGGAGCTATTTGCCTCTCCCAGATAAAGATGCCATAAATTTTCTATACTGTATGATGGTATAACAACAGATCTCCTCTGTGGAGTTGTCTGGAGGATTGGAGGAGATAACCCATGTCCAACTCTTGTATGGTGTCTCAGTACATACCAACTGTTCTTCCTAGAGACACCTCGTATGCAAGTGTTTAATATGTACATGTCACAGGCCTGGTGTTCTCTCATTTCCTTGTTCAGTGAGGTGACCTTGGTTTTACAAGTCTAGATTTCTACTCAGATGTTAAGATTTTCCTATATTAGTAATGACTATCCATCTTTTTCAGTGGCACATGCTATCAATCATTTCAAAAGTGATGTTTTATATTACAGCATCTTTAAAATGAGAGTTTCTCTTATAGGAGTCTAAAACAAATATAATGGGAAAGGTAAATCTAAAGGAGGCAAATCTGGGGGGATAGTAGAGGATAGGAAAGGTAGCAGAATACAACAGTTACTAATAGGGCATTATGTAAAAATGTGGATGTGTAACCGATGTGATTCTGCAATCTGTATTTGGGGTAAAATTGGGAGTTCATAACCAACTTGAATCTAATGTATGAAATATGATATGTCAATAGCTTTATAATGTTTTGAACAACCAATAAAAAAAAATACTGTGGGGAAAATATGAATAAAAGAACATGCGGTACAATGTTGACTTGTTTTTGGATGATAGAATTGTAATTTCAGAATAGCTTTCTATATTTTCAAAAATTTCAAAGATGAGCATGTTTTATTTTTATTATAATAATAAACTATTTAAATGTTGAAAAAAAAATAAAGGAGGCAAATCTTTGTCATGGTTCGATGACAAGCTTTGGTGCTCCCACATGTCAGTCTCTCTTAGAGGCAGCAGCCCCATATCTCTGTGTGAGCTCATCAAGTGTTCCAAAAGTACCTTTCTAACTACATGCTCTTGTTTCTCCCTAGTTAAATATCAACATTAAGTTTGCCTTCAAACTGCATCTCATATACTTTGTGATGATGAAAAGGAAGTTTAGATATGCAAATTCAGATAGTTCTATTAAAAAAGAAAAGTAGTCTGTCTGATTTTTATTTACCCTCTATAGGATTTTTTGGCTAATAATTTTATACTTTAATTACATGAAATGTTGCTTAAGTTGGCCTCTATACCCTGTTCATATCTCCCAGCTAGTGAAATGCAATTTGTATCATGGTACATAGGACAGTTCTTAAAACACACCGTAATGTAGGAAAGAGGCAGAACTATCCAGAATAGCATTTGTTAGTAGTCCCTGTTTATTGGATGGATGGAAAAGATAGAATTGAACTGAGAAAGCAAAGTAAGAAAATAAGGAGGAGGATGAATGGATTCCTCTTTGGGAATAGCTCATGCTGCAACCCTGGGTTCCAAAGCTCAAAAGTTAGAAGAAATAACAGCAGCAGGGACCAGGATCCCCCTTCCTTACTGACTCTAGAAAACGTAGTAGACAGCACAGTGAGGCCTTTGCGATGTCTGATATCGTAGTCTTAGGAAATATTGGCCTCAAGTTTTCTCCTTGTTGGGAAGAGCTTTTCATTTCTGATAGGCAATGGACTGAGTTGAAAAGCTTCCTCTGTAATGTGAATTTCAGGTATGTTAGCTTTAGTTCTAATCCCTTCTGTAATGTTGCCTAGTATTTAGTTTCTTTGTCTGTCGATCACAACGGTGCTTATGACCAGGGTTCTGTTAGTTCAGCTGTCACAACAAATTTGTGCATGGATCAATTTTCAACAGAATGAAGAAAGAAAATGTGCACCAAAGGATTAGGCCCAGGGTGGTGTATGATATGATGGACTGTAGGGTTCAGAAAACAGACACATTTTAAACAACTTTGAATGTGGAAACAATGCATGTGTTCAAAATATTTATTATATAATAACACAGATTAGGCATAGACTGTCGTCTATTTATGAACAAAAATACATCTTATGGTTTTCCAAGTAAGGATACCAGAAGAAACAATGCATTATCTTCTTCTACCTTGAGAAGATATGTTGGGGATTCATAAAAACCTGTGGACAGGGTGTATGGGGATGCGTTGGTCAGAGGTAGTATACAGCTGATCGCGATGACACATGCCTGTAATCCCAGTGACTAGTTAGGCCGAGGCAGGAGGATTGCAAATTCAAAGCCAGCCTCAGCAAAAGTGAGGCGCTAAGCAACTCAGTGAGACCCTGTCTCTAAATAAAATACAAAATAGGCTCAGTGACCGAGTGTCCCTTAATTTAATCCCTGGTACCAAAAAAGGAGAGGTAATGTACAAGTACTGTACTTAATGAGGAAGTCACAATGGTTTGAGTTTTCCTGCAGATGGTAAGTTATAGGATAGCAGAGATCAGATCTTCCTTGTTACCTGCAGTAACCCCTGTGCCCAGCCTAGAGTTGGCCTATTGTAGGCATTTGATGGGTACTTGATGAGTAAATGAAATCAAACCCAGCAAATAGAACAGAACATTTATTTACATAAAAGCTATCAGTGGCTTTTACTAATGCCAGTGAAGTCTGGTTAAATCATTGCTGACATTACAAATACTGTTCCATTATCTATCAATCACATTTTAACACTTAGCATAATAATACAATGCATTGTGTTTAGGGGACTGTTTATCCAAGCCCTTTAATGTTGCAGTTGTTCATTCTTTTTTGTTGATTTTTAGCTATAATTTATTGACAGGTCTCTTCTAGCTGTCAAGGGACCCTTGTAAAATTGGAAGAAGCCCTCCCCAGTCATTGTTACCACACACAGCCTTGCAGGCGCACCAACCCCTCTGCCCTGCAGCAGGGTGCCTCTGTGACGTGAGCTGTGTGCCACATCCCCATTTACTGACTATCTTCTCATGTTAGACACACATTAGCACCTCTGTTAATTTTCCTAACAATCCCCCAAAGCAAACAATATCACCACTTTACAGATAAGGAAATTGAGGCCCAGAGAGATTAGGAACTGAAGGGAAGGGAGAGAGATAAAGAAAGAAAGAAAAAGAAATACTATACTTCTTTCAACAGGGTGAGGGTAAATACAATTCAAAAGGTATGAAACCTAGAGCCAGAAAGGAAGTTTTAGGGTAATTATAGACTTTATTGCTGTGTTCTCTGAGAGATGGTCTGAAAACATCGTTTATTTTCCAATCTTTTCATGTATTTCCTCTAAACGTTTTTCCTTTGGAGTAGTTCATGAGAAGGTACCAGTATTAAAATGATGAAATCACTTTACTTCTGTGTTTGCCCATTATAATTTCATCCTTGCTAGGTCATTGAGAGAACAATGCTATCGACTGGCACTCAGTGGTTGTGAGTCCCTGTGTGGGCACCTTCCAAATACTAACGCATGCAGCCCTCACCACAGCTCCCTGGTTAGGTGCTGACACTAGTCCTGCTTTATAGGAGGTGAGCTGAGGCACAGGGAGGCTTAATAAGGCTTACTGGAGTCAGACGGAGAAACCAGAATTCAAACCTACTATGTACATTATAGGTGTCATTTTCAAGGTCTTTCCTTTTAGAGCAAATTGTTTTCTTCTATCTCCTAGGAAAAAGAATTTTTGAGCTATTTGTTAGGAAGTATTACCTTACAAATAGTCATTTCAAAAAGTATTTAGAGCTGGGGGCTGCAGTTGTAGCTCATGTATTTTTCAAGGTAGCTCTCGTGGTACAGCTCTCACCTGTGCACGTCTGAGGCACTGGATTTGATCCTCAGCACCACATAAAAATGAAATAATGATATTGTGTTCACCTACAACTAAAAAAAAATTCAAATATATTTAGAGCACTGTTGATTGAAATAAATGACAAAATTAACATGTTACTACACTTCTGGCAATTTCTTTTTTTGTGTGTGATCATTTTAAGAATCCTTTATCCCCTTGAAACTTACCCTTGAAAAATATTAAAGATAATGACATCCTTTTGTAATGTTTCCCCCCCTCGGTTGATTATTTTCAGGTTGTATTCTATAAAATTATATGTTAGGACATTTGCCTAATTCCAATGTGTGATAAGGTTGGGAGAAGTACACACAAAGCAAGCTGACACTGTGATCATGGGCACAAGTGTTCTAGCTAGGGCAAAAATTGACAGATCACTTGGACACTTGTGTCCCATCTGAGGTGAAATAAATTCTTACCAAGTTTTCTTTCTGGGGTGGGACTGGACTTAGACACGTCATGTATTTTTGAAGGTATAAATTTTTGTGCTCTGGGAGAATGCTGCCTTTGGAATGCACCCACACCTGGCACAGGTGGATGCAAATGCTTCATCTCATTTTACTGACTGAGCTAATCACTGTCATCACTATTTTATAAGAAAATATAATTTGGCAGACATCTGTGATTAGTACTTTAATACATTTCCTTGTTAATTCCCTAAGGCAATTATTACCAGAACATCCTTTGTTTGGTATCTAAATGAGTTGGCTTGTCTTATGGGATTCTTTATAGGCCTGAGAGATTTCTTTTATTAAGCTGCTTTACTTGCTGTTAATCTGAAGGCTTCCATCATGATGAGACAGGAGGGGGAGGTGAAGGACAGCCCTCTCCCCAGTTCTGTCATATGGACCCTCAAAACTGACAGCTGATGCCCTGAATCTCATATAATTGTCCCTGAGTTCTGCTTCTTCACCTCTAGCTCTCTCTGTAGGTTTCTCAACTAGACTCAAGGCAGGATAGAGATACAAATGCTGTTTCTCTCTTCTCTCCTCCTTCAATTCCTCCTCTACCCCAAGACTTTCCTCTTCTTTTTTGCCTCTATGCAAAAACTACCCTTCTCCAGACACATAGCAAATGTGTTAGTAAGATAGAGAGCTCAGCTCCAGGCTGTTACGTAAATTTCTGGACAGGCCCATATGTCAAGTTGTCCCCTAGAGTTTGCCACTAGGATGCACAATCTACAGCCCATCCCTGACACACCATGCCCCGAGACAAGCCATGCCTCTCTACAGCCCAGGTTCTTTCATCCTTGTCTTCTGTTTCCAGCAGCCAAGCTTTGGGCCAGTGTTACCCAAGATCCTCCTTCTTCCTCCTTTCCCTCACCCCCTGGATCAGTCATTATGTTCAGTCATTTTTACCTCTCATAACTATTTTCTCTCAGAAGTTACTGGTAACCTTGAGATTTGTGCTGCCCATCTCTGATTCATTCTTCAGGAGTATGTGTGGATGGATGCATGTCTTTTTGGTGCTAGGGATTGAGCCCCTAGCTTGCTAAGCACACTCTGTACCCTGAGCTATAATCCCAGTCCCCAAAGAGGGAGGTTTTAAAAATCCAAATCAGATCAATTCTCTCCCCTACTCAGGATTCTTTTTTTCATTTTATTTATTTTTATATTAAAAATAAGCAGTTCAGGGGAGGTATAGTTGATATACAGTGAACAGCACATATTTACGGAGCACATAGGAACCGAGCACCCCTTAGCCGGGAGGGATGAGAACATGGAGATGTGGCAAAATCCAGCCATGGGCTGTGTGTGTGTGAACTATGGGCACTGAGTGCACAGATTTGCCCCTCTGTTTGGGTGGGCCTGGCTCTGGTCTTTTTACTTGCTCTGCCATGATCCCCACACAGCTCAGGAAATGGGAATGGCCTCCCTAGATGTCACTCAATCTGCGACAGCAGACATCAGGAAGCTAGATTCAACCACCTGAAACCTAATCCCTTGCTTCATTTGAATGGCTTCTCCTCAATAAAAGGGGTCAGCACGTGCTCTCTCTCTCTCTTTCCACGGACCCCTAATATTGGAGGAGCCGTCACAGGACCCAAAGAAAAAGGTATTTCTCTGTCTCTGTGATTATTTCATGCAACCCAGTTCACCTGGAGTGACCTTGAGTGTTTAGTTGTGAGATGTGACAGCACATTTTAGTAAGTTTGTACCAAGACTTATGTGTGTACCCATGGAAGCATCAACCCAATCCAAATATTGAACGTTAACTGCCAACATTTCCTTATGTTCCTTTGAAATCCATTCTGGCGCATCCCAATCCCAGTCCCCAGACACTGTTTTGCTTTCTGTCACTATTAGATAAGTTGGCACTTTCTAGTTTATAAAATGGGATCATATAGTATGTAATCTTTCCATCTTCTTTTACTCAGCATAATTATTTTGAAAAGCATTTATGTTGTTGCACTTATCAATGGGCCGTTTCTTTTTTTTTGTTGTGTAGTATTCCATTGTGTGGATATACCTCAATCAGTTTCTTTATTCATCTGTTGATGTAAATCTAGGTTGTTTCCAGTTTCGGGTTATTACAAATTAAGCTGCTACAAACTTTTGTGAACAAGTCTTTGTACAGATGCATGTTTTCTTTTCTCATGGGAAAATGTCTAGGGAATAAAATGGTTGAGCTATATAGTTATGTGTGTGGTGTGTAAAATTTGGTGCTGGGGATTGAACCCAGGGATTTGCACATGCTAAGCACATGTGCTCTTCAGTGACTAAACTAAACCTCAGTCCTGGGCATGTGTATTGATTTAATTGCTTAACAAAACCCTACTCACAATTTATTTTTTCAGATAAATATCAGACTGAAGGATTTTAATGTAATCTTCTTTTCTTTTTATTTAATTAATTTTTATTGGTGCGTTATAATTGTACATAATAGTGGGATTCATTGTGACGTTATTTGTACACACAAACAACACAATTTAATGTACTATATTCCCTGGTATGTCCCCCCTCCTTCCCCCTCCTCCCTCCCCCTGGTCCCCCTTCTCATTTCATGAGATTTCCTCCCCCCTTCCCCCCTTCTTCTCTGTAGCTTTCATATATAAGAGAAAATATACAATCCTTAACTTTCTGAGTCTGGCTTATTTTACTTAACATAATGTTCTCAAGTTCCATCCATTTTCCTGCAAATGACATAATTTCATTCTTTTTGTGGTGAATAAAACCCCAGTGTGTATATATGCCACATTTTCTTTATCTATTCATTCATTGACAGATACCTGGGCTGGTTCTATAATTTGGCTATTGTGAATTGTGCTGCTATAAACGTGGGTATGCAGGTATCACTGTAGTTGGCTGACTTTAATTCTTTAGGATAAATACTGAGGAGAGGTATAGCTGGGTCATATGGTGGTTCTATTACTGGGCTTCTGAGGAAGCACCATACTGATTTCCACAGTGGTTGTACAAATTTACAATCCCACCAACAGTGTCATAGTGTTTCCTTTTCCCTAATCCTCTCCAGCATTTATTGTTATTTGTATTCTTGACAGTGGCCATTCTACCTGGAACGAAATGAAATCTCAGTGTAGCTTTGCTTTGCATTTCCCTGATTGCTAAAGATGATGAACATTTTTTCATATATTTGTTGGCCATTTGTATTTCTTTTTCTTCTTCTTCTTTTTTTTTTTTTTTTGGTACCAGCGACTGAACTCAGGGGCACTTAACCACTGTGCCACATCCCCAGCCCTATTTTGCATTTTATTCAGAGACAGGGTCTCACTGAGTTGCTTAGCATCTCACTTTTTGCTCTGTGCTGGGTTTTGAACTCATGATCCTCCTGTCTCAGCCTCCCGAGCTGCTGGGATTACAGGTGGGTGCCACTGAGCCTGGTTTGTATTTCTTCTTCTGAGAAGTGTCTGTTTAGTTCATTTGCTCATTTACTGATTGGGTTATTATTATTGTTTTTTTTTTTTAAGAGAGAGTGGGGGAGAGAGAGAGAGAGAGAGAGAGAGAGAGAGAGAGAGAGAGAGAGAGAATTTTTTAATATTTATTTTTTAGTTCTTGGCGGACACAACATCTTTGTTTGTATGTGGTGCTGAGGATCGAACCCGGGCCGCACGCACACAAGGCGAGCGCGCTACTGCTTGAGCCACATCCCCAGCCCCTATTATTGTTTTTTTTTAAAATACTTTTTTAGTTGTTGATGGACGTTTATTATACTTTATTTATATGTGATGCTGAGAATTGAACCCAGGGCCCTACACATGCTAGGCAAGTGCGCTACCACTGAGCTACAACCCTAGCCCGGTTATTATTTTCTTGTGGTAAGTTTTTTGAGTTTTTTTGGTATATTCTGTCAGAAGAGTAACTGGCAAAGATTTTTCTCCCATTCCATAGGCTCTCACTTCATGCTCTTGTTTCCTTTGCAGTTGAAAAATCTTTTTTATTTGATACCATCCCATTTATTAATCTTGGTATTATTTCCTGCTTGTTCACAATTCTTTTTTTAAATATTTTTTAGTTGTTGATAGACCTTTATTTTATTTATGTATTTATATGCGGTGCTGAGAACTGAACCCAGTGCCTCACACATGCCAGGCAAGTGCGCTACCGCTGAGCCACAGCTCAGCCCCTTGTTCATAATTCTTGTTCTTCATGCTTTTAGGGTAAAATTTAAGCTCATTAGGGAGATATATATATTTCTCTAAAACAGCTAAGAGAATTAAAATATTTGCCCCTAGAGAAGGGGAAATGGGAGGGGAGTTAACATTGGATCAGCAGATAACTTTTTAAACTATATGTTTATATAATTGTGGTGGTAAAAAGAAAAAAGGAAGAAAAAAAAAAACCTCTTGGGGAAAAAAAGAAGAAGAAAATATCACCTAGAGACCCATTTTAACATTTGGTTTCTTTTTTCCCAGTCTTTCCACACTCCATTTGTGATTTATTTTTCCTCTCCTTCTCCTTCCCTCACTGCCTTCCTTTTGATCACTGTAATCATACTATATTTAAAACTGGTAACTCGCTTACTGAGCTCTTAGATGAACTGCAGACTTCAGGCTAATAAATGCTTTATATGCACTGTTTCATTTGGTCAACCCAACTACAAGTGCCAATTTTTAAGACATGTCATAATTATTTTCTTATTTAAGCTTATGGTCTTTATAATCATCTATTCATGGTATAGTATTTCATTTAGTATACTATTTATCTGTACCCCCCAACTTGTTAGACTTTTAAGTTGTTTTTCAGCTTTCTTTTTTTAAATGTTTTTTAGTTGTTGATGTACCTTTATTTTTAATTTATTTATATGTGGTGCTGAGGATCGAACCCAAGTGCCTCACACATGCTAGGTAAGCGCTCTGCCACTGAGCCACAACCCCAGCCCATGTTTTTCAGCTTTTGCTATTATAAAGAACACTTGAATGATAGATTTTTTTTCCCTCGAAGCATTTTCTAAGTTTTAAGCTTTTAAGATAAACTTCTAGAAGTAGGATTACTGGGTTAATGGATATAAACACATTGCAAATTTGCTTATTGTAAACTGTTGAGAGCACTTTTGCGCCCAGTGTTTCATGAGACACGATTCTCATGCAACTCTGAGATGGGTGGGAGAGAGACACCCATGAGATCCCTGGGAACTATTTTCCCAAGGCCACAACAGATGCAGAAGGAGCCAGAAGAGACAGGAAGTAAAATGCATGTTTCCAACTTTCCTTTGTTTTCCTTCTCATTGTGCCCCTAAAATGACAGGAAACTCAGGTCAAGCAATCCTTGTCACTCCCCTTCCTAGACACCATTGCCTTCACCTACTAGATTTCCTCCATCATGGAGCATTTTCCATTCACTGGGGACCATTCTTTGTTAGAAGGAAAGTGAGACCTTCCCAAGAGCCCAAGGGTCACACACTGGGAAACCTCCCAATCCTAAAGAGGAGAAAGGGTAGGACAGAGAAAAGAACATGTGAAACAAGTGGACTTTGCTAAGTTAGAATATGGGATAGGAGCCATGAGAAGGTGCACAATGAGCAAAGAGAAAACTCGGTGAAGTTTGAGGTGAGGTGTTTGGGGTAAAGACATAAAGGCCTTTGACCTGGAGAGAGGGTCATGGTATGTCTTGAAGTATTAAATCTACTTCTTGATATCGGTTCACTTTTTCAAGACAAAAACTAAAATAATATTTTGTGTTTTCTCTTTCCCCCCCCCCCCAATGTAATGATCAAAAAGTAACTTCAAATGAATGTTTATCTACCACAGAAGAAAGTGAGTCCTGTGTTGCCCAACCCACACCCCGCACACCAGGAAAAGAATCCATATTTCATGGCAACATACAAAGGGAAAGCCTTCCCCCTCTGGAGAAGCCCAAGGCATCAGTGGTGCCTACAGCTAATGGTGTTGTATCCCGTGAACGGCCCCTGGCAAAGGAGGTAGCCCCTGAAAAGGATGCCATAGGCCAGATAGGACCTACAGAGAAGACTCAGCCTCTCCAAGGACCTGCGGAATCTGAGGCACCTCATCTAGGTGGCAGAGATGATACCCCAGGAGCAAAAGAAAAGAAGAAAGATGTGGAAACAATGACAGAAGTTCAGGCTGTAAAAGGAAATGCTCAGACTGAACTTTCAGAAGTCAAGGATCCATCTTCAGGGACAGCAGGAGAGAGGAACTCCTCTGGAACAAGGGAAGATGCTGAGAATCCACCAACTGTTGCAGTGATGCAACCTCCAGGAACAATGGAGAACATTCAGCCTCTGGAAACAGATGGAGAGCTGCAGCCTCCAGAAGCAACGGGAAAAGATGAACAGTCCCAATTTCTAGAAGCAATTCCCAAAGAGAACAAATCTCCAGAAATGTTGGAAGGAAGTCAGTTTGTGGAAACTAATGAAGAACAGAAATTTCAAGAAACAGTGGGAAACGAGGAGCAATCCCAGCTTCTAGAAACAATTTCCAAAGAGAATTTAACATCAGAAATATTGTACAGAAGTCAGTCTGTGCAAACTCCTGTAATGAACGACTTACTCCACACAACTTCTGAAGGTCCTGAAAACATGGAGCAGATTCAACCTGAAAGAATAGTTGGAAGCATGGAGCAACCAGAAGGAATTCCAGAGACAGCGGCAAATGTGGAAATGGATGGAAAAATTCACACTAACCAAGCAGACCAACACACTGAAGGTAAAGTCAGGCTGTTAGAGATTCAGAATGTTTATTTAGATGAGTTCCACAGACCAGCACTGGGGGAGGGGGAGCCTGACACACAGTCACTGAAGTCTTTCAGGTGGCTGAAGTTCATTACCCAAACCAAAAAGGCTTCCATCCTGGGAAACAAGCATTCCATCCAGCCTCAATCCAGCTTTCCAGAAAATCTCTTCTAAAGCATAGTCTTTATTTATAGTGTCAAGATTTTTAACTTAGAGTCTGATGGTTAAATAGAATCGTCCCTTGGCCAGATACTGTGGTGTGCACCGATAATCCAGCAGCTTGAGAGCCTGAGGCAGGAGGATTGTTGAAAGCCAGCCTCAGCAATTTAGCAAGGCCCTGAGCAACTTAGAGTGACCTTGTTTCAAAATAAAAAATAAATAAATAAATGAATGAGCTGAGGATGTAGCTCAGTGGTTAAGTGCCTCTGGGTTCCATTCCTGGTACCAAAAAAAAAAAAAAAAAAAAATCATCCCTTGAAGGCAACATGTCAAAATTTCTGAATTTGTCCAAGTTCACTTTTCATTAGGCTCTCTACATGGTAAGAGGATCCAGAATTAAGGTGAACAAATTATTAGTGGAGGATTTTACCTTCTAATGAAAGAACACACAAAGAATATAGCTTTTAGAATGTAATTTTCATCTCGGTTAAGCACATCCTTAGAAAATTATTGTCATTCTATTCCTGTCCTGTTTTTGTTTGCTTGTTTGTTTTTGGGGCTGGTGATTGGACCCAAGGCTTTGCACATGCTAAGCAAAAATTCTACCACTAAGCTATTCCCCCAGCCTTATCTTTTTATCTTTATGAGAAGGCTAAAGAAATATATTGTTTTGGTATGTGGTATTTAAAAAATTTTAAATCTGCTTTATCAGCATAAAATGATATTTATGCTGTTCTTGGAGTATATTGTTTGTTGGAGTTATAACTAAAAGTAACATTTTTTTCTGAGGCATGATTTACATTTTGATAACATTAGCTTCATAGTATTGTATAATTAAGTGAAACATTAATTATAACCATCTGTTTCTTAATTCTTTAATTTACTAACTCAGGTTTTTGTGGTGCTAGGGAACAAATCTTGCACCTTGTACACGCTGAGCAAATGCTCTATCACTGAAATATACCCCCAGCCCAATTCAGGTTTTTTTTTTTTTGCTATTGGGGATTGAACCCAGGAGCACTTTACCACTGAGCTACATCCCCAATTCTTTTTATATTTTATGTCATTTTGAGACCCAGGCTTGCTAAGTTGCTGAGGCTGGTCTTAAACTTGTGATCCTCCTGCCTTAGCCTCCTGAGTTGCTGGCATTATAGGTGTATGCCATCACTCTGACCCAACTGAGTATTTTTTGAGTGCCTAAGCATATGCTAGGTGCTCAGGATGCAGAATGAGTAGGAGATAATCCCTGATCTCAGGGACCCTCAGTTTATTGGGGGAAGGCAGAATGTAAACAAATTATTATACTTTATTGAGGCAGATGTTTTACTAAAAATGCAAAAAAAAAAAAGTGCTATGAGTCAGAAGGGAGAAGCAAGTAAAAACATATATTTTTAGACCATGCTTGGAAAAAAAATCAAAATCATCCCTTGAAGGCAACATGTCAAAATTTCTGAATTTGTCCAAGCTCACTTTTCATCAAGCTCTTTATATGGTAAGAGGATCCAGAATTAAGGTGAACAAATGATTAGTGACCATGCTGAAAATGAGTGAAATGGGGCCTGTAGGATTCCATGGAGACTCTCAGAGGACCTCAGGAAGCTGCTGCTTGTGAATGGGAGCCAATGTTGCCCAAACTGATTTTAGGGAGTTACATTTGCAATATCTAGACTTTTAAATGCTAGCAAGCTCTATGTCTTTAATGAATGTTTTCTTTAAATACCATAATGGTCAAATAAGACAGATTTTTGGCCAACCCTGGACCATCTTTTGACTTATATAGAGATGAAACATTCTAGTATGTTCTATTGCCATTTCTTGGGTAATTTTGCATCCTGATTTTATTTAGAATGCCAAGACACCAAGATGTTCAGGGACTTGACATTGGCCACACTTGCCTTTCTTGATACCACCAAAGAAACTTTCTGCATAGACCTAAGAGCAAAAACTGCCCCATTGGAAACAAACTATGGAAGCAATTTGTTGTTAATGCTAAGTGAGTGTTTCATATTATCTCTTTGGATTACTTTTCCAGGTGAGACAGGAGAAAAGGTGGAAACAGAGATGGAGAATGAGAATGTAAGTGAAAGGGCTGAAACAAAAGAAGAAGAAACAGGAGAAGCCGTGGATCTTTCAGCAGCCACAGAGCTGGGGATGGCGACAGAAGGGTGAACAGACACAGCCTGGTTCAGTGGAGAGATGCAGTTTGTAGTTGTGCATCATTTCGTGTATGTGTGTTTATGGTTCTTAACTTTCTATAGCTACATATTTTGCACAAGGAGTGTGATTGTAGGTAGACTGTTGGAACCATGACAGTGATGCCACGCTCTTGACTGTGTTGTTCCATGAAACTGCTAAGCTGGGAATGGTTTTCTTAGCTACTTAGGACAGTGACACATTTAAAATCATAATAGCCAGAGCCAATAAAAACAGGGCTTTGTGATCATTTAAGAGTGTGAGGGTGACTATCTTCATTGTGGCAATGGGTCCATTCAGTATAGGAAAAGAGGACCTAAATATAAGGTATAGACCTGTAGCTACAGAAGGCTGGAGAAAGGAGGTAGCAAATTTTAGGAGAATTCATGATTATAAGTTCATGTAGTTCAATTATGATGGAATAAAATGAATAACACAAAATTAATGGGACAAACTCAGCCTAGTATTTCTGTCCTATCATAGAGTTTAGAGCTGGTAGGAATCTTATGAGGCATGCCATCTCATTACCTTCTCACCTTGTCTCTCTACTACCAAGAGCCTTATTTATCATGATACATTATGTTAATAAAGTGCTTTTCAAAGGAATGTGGCTTTGGTGCTGTCGCAAGATTAGTCATTTTTTGCAAGGAAGGCTCCACATTTTCCTTGTGCCATTTTGAATCAGCTGCTGATTTTACACTTATGTGAGGTGTTGGACTAACATTAAAAGCATTTTAAATTAATTGACATTTAATATATTTCAGAGACAACAAATACCAAGGATTAAATCCTAGATTTGTTGCTATGTGGAGTCTTCCTGGGCCCTATTCTTTTTTAGATGACTGCAGCTTAATATTAGGTTTTAGGGGTAAAGAAGATAAGAAATCAAAATATTTATAATATTTTGTAGTGTAAACATTAGGTAGCACAGAAAATCACTTTTCAAGAATTCTTCCAAAGTTTGAAAGGGTAAATGATTGTACATGAATAATAAATAATGATTGCTAATTTTCCCACCAAGTGCGTTGTGTTTATGAATATTGGTAGAATTCTGGAAATATTTGGTTTCTATTATTTGTACATATATGTATATTTTAAGGTAACTTCTAAGATGTATTAACTACTCTTACTTTAGTGTATATATTAAAATGACTACTGAGAGGACCTGTGGTAAGAATATAAGATACAGGGGTGGGGGATATAGCTCAGTCAGTAGAGTGCTTGCCTGACATGCACAAGGCCCTGTGTTCAATCCCCAGTACCACCAAAAAAGAAAAAAAGAAAGAAAAAAAATATAGGATACAGGGAAGAGTATATCATCTTAGTTCTGATTTTAGTATTAGTTTATGCTTCTGACTTTAAAGTGTTCAAAGGTAGACAAAAGATGAGTTCTTTGAGTGGATGATGTCATCCTATCTGCAAAATAAAGAAGATTGTGATTTCTGTTTTATCTGTCTTTGATTTCAGGCATTTAGCTCCTTTAATGGTACTCTACACTTCTGTTGACTCAATGAATGAATAATACCAAGGGTTCCTATTTATACTAAATTCATTTAGAAAATAATACATTTAAGCTGGGTGTGGTGGCTCATGCCTATAATCCCAGCAGCTCAGGATGCTGAGGCAGGAGGATCATGAGTTCAAAGCCAGCCTTAGCAAAAGCAACAAAGTCACTAAGCAACTCAGTGAGACCCTGTCTCTAAATAAAATACAAAATAGGGTTGGGGATGTGGGTCAGTGGCTGAGTGCCACTGAGTTCAATCCCTTGTATGAAAAAAAAAAAAAAAAAAAAAAGAAAGAAAGAAAGAAAGAGAAAGAAAATAATACATTTAAAATATGAATTTGTGTGATATTACCCTAATCCTATCTGGGAAACAGGAAAATTCGTTTTCATATCACAAGTGCTCAAGCTAAATGAATAGCTTCATGTTTGGTGTAGTTCCAAAACCAGAATTTTTAGGTCAGAAAGTTATATTAATCAAGAACTGATAAAATTTATCTTTTGAGCTACATGTTTTCATTCAAAGATATTTTTTTTCTGACCAGAAGATACTTTCATACATGTATTTAGTAAGTAGAAAAACACGGACTGATAAGTATGTGAGATAATAAATATGCTAATTAGCTTGATTCAATCATTACAGAATGCATATATATGAATAAGTCATTTATTCATATTATGAATATGAGTATTTATATTTATGATTTATCAGTTGAAATAGAACTTAAGGGGCTGGGGCTGTACCTCAGTGGTAGAGTGCCTGCCTCATATGTATTAGGAACTGGGTTCAATCCTCAGCACCATATAAAAATAAAGATATTGTGTCCATCTACAATTAAAAAAAATTAAAAAAAAGAAATAGAACTTGAAAAAAGTCAGAGCTTAGTATAAAATGTAAGTGATCACCTTAATAAATGGAATTATTCTTTGTATCAAGCACTGAAATAGGAGGATTAATAGGCATAAAAGTCCATTCTTTTGGTGACTTATTAAAAAATTTTAATATTTAAAGAGATCTAAGTTTTCCAAAGTGTTTATTAATTCCATTCTTTCCCATTAGTGTGTCAACTAATTCTCAAAATTTTGGAAATTTGTACAAACATATTTTTTTCTTTCTTTGTTTTTTGGTACCAGGAATTGAACCCAAGGTGGATTACCACTGAGCCATATCCCCAGTCTGTTTTTTGAGACAGGGTCTCACTAAGTTCCTTAGGGCCTCACTAAGTAGCTAAGGCTGGCTTTGAACTCATGATCCTCCTGTCTTAGCCTCCTGAGCTGCTGGGATTACAGGTGTGCACCACCCTGCCCAGCAATTTTTGGTACTTTCTGTACTTTTGTCTATAGTCTTTAATGTGGCTACTAAGGCATCTTTAGAAACTTTGATTTTTTAGATTTTAGGTAAAATAGGCACTTTGTAGTCCAGTTTGTGTCCTACTAATTTTAATTTCATTATTTTCTATGCCTACCTAGGAGGGAAATGGTGAACAAATGATTTTCTAACTAGTATCACCAATAGGGAATGAACATTTTGCCAGTCGCAAATCTAGAAAATACTCAGGCCAGATCCCAAACTCTTGGCTTGAAGTGCCACCCGCTGGGGATCCACAGAATAAAAAAGTGTGATGGACCGTGATCTTATTGCTTTTTCCATTTAGACTTTGGAGTAAGAGATTCTAACAAAGAGAATAACTTTTGAGCAGTCAAAACACACATACACACACACACACACACACACACATACACACACACACACACACACGTCACTCTTAACAATTTTTTTCCCCAAACCTGGCCTTGAATTAAGAATTGCTTTTAAAGGATTTTTTTTTTCACATTTAGCTAATCAGAATCTTGAATGGCCATAGTCAGATTATGCTACTAGGGTTTATATTTGTGTTCTTTTGGTGCACATAATCACTTGTTGGAAATTACAACTATGCTATTTTTATAGATAGTTTGGGCCCCAGCACCTCACTAGGAAGTTACAGGCCCAAAAGTTATCTTTTTTAACCATCACCATACCCCTAACAGTTTTAGGAGAGGATAAACTAGTAGTTGATTTCAACTAGTAGTTAATAGATCAGTATGGATGAGTTTCAAGTTTTCTGGATATCCGAGTTATTTAAAAACTTTTTGGGCCAGCTTCCTGGCAATCCCAGAGACTCTGGAGGCGGAGGCAGGAAGACCAAAAGTTTGAGGTCAGCCTCAGAAACTTAGTGAGACCCTGTCTTAAAAAAAAAATGGCTGAAGGTGTAGCTTAGTGGTAAAGCACTTGTCAAGCATGCACAAGCCCCTGGGCTCCATCTTGAGCACCACAAAATCAAATAACCTTTTTCTTTTTGGTAAAAATAACAAAAAACAAAAAACCACTGTTTTTGTTTAGGTACTTAAATGGGACACAGTGATTATTTATGTAATTATTTCAGGGAAAGGCTTATTAAAATTTTTCTTACTAAAAATGAAAGCATTGTAGAAATTCAGAAAATATGAATTTCTTAAGATGAAATCTAAATATTACCTGTAATTCAGTTCAAAATTCAGGTCAAAAATCATCACTGTTAGCATGTTGATGTATATGTGGGGTTATTATTATTATTTTGATTGCAAAATTTGTAACAAGTTAGACAAGGCACAATAGTTGATAGAATGTTAAGTCTATTGAATGAGCACAGTAATTCTAGATTTTCCCCATTGGAATTTGTTGGAGATAATAAATTAGAGAGAAGGGTCCAATTATAGTTGCTATATTAGTAAACCTTGATTAGTGGTATAGAGGAAAAAACTGTTCTTAAGTATATTAGCGCTTAGCTGACCATGATTTATGACTTAGGATAGATGAATAGTTCACTGAAGTGGATTTTTGAAATTATTTTTAATGCTTTCCAATTACTAAACACATGGTAGAAGTGAGAAGACTGTAAGCCCTTTTTAGGGCAGGAAAAGCATCTCATATTTCGTTTTTCTTACAGGACTTAGTACAAATTCAACAGTCTGTAAATATTTGTTGATGACAAATGCTGTTTATTCATATACAATCAAGGTAATTTCCTTATAATTAATTATAATTGGCTTTAGGGGCAATTATGGGAAATTTTATAAAATTGTTTTGTACTCTTGCTTCAACATTTATAATTTTGATTGAATAAATATGTCATTAGAAATAATACAGTGTTTGAATCTTGGTATATTTATCTAATTGTTACTACAGGAACATATATAAAATTTCTTTTGGCTCATGGTGTTCTTCAGAAAACAGCAAACTTTAAAAATATATACCCTATCAAAGGTAGAAATATGGCAACAATAAGGAAATATGGGTGACTCATTTAGACATCTCATACTTCAAAGAGCTTGCTCTATGTTTGAAAGGCCAACATACTGCAATTATTATTTTTTACATTTAACAAAGTCTAATGATTCTGTTCTGATTTAGTGGAAAGAAGATTAAAAATCCCAACACAGTCATTAAATTAATTAACCTGGGTGCCGGTACCTTATTTCCTTCTAGCTTTTTCATTCTAGGGTTTGATTTTTAAGTCATGACTTATATACAACCATTCCTCTTAGAACCAACCTGGCTGGGTCTAATTTTCTTCACTACAATTATTGGTTTTGGAATGGCTCTTTCCTGACTTGAGCTGGACCAATCAGAGACTTCCCTGAGTCTCTTTCCAGATATACTAGGAAATGGTATCTTTCAGCTGGAGCTAGTATACAGGTAGCCTGTATGTGTGGACCTGCAGCATCTTCCCACAAGAGACTGAAAGAACCATGAGGTTTCTAGACCACATGTGTCTGAAGTCAGCTATACCTTGGAATTCTGGGTGATCTGAGCCTGAGTTCCTTTTTTGTTCCTCTTACACTAGTTTGAGTTGAGTTTCCATCATTTACAAATATGAGAATCTTCATGTTAAGGTAGAAAGAGATGTCCTATAAATAAGCTGGAGATAATAAAAATGTAAGAGCAGAAATTAATGATAAAATAAAATATAAGGGCTGAGGATATAGCTTAGTGGGAGAGGAGAATGCTTGACTGGCACACACCCAAATCCCTGGTTTTAATCTCTAGCAACACCAAAAAGAGGGAGAGAAAGGGAGAGAGGGAGAGAGGAGGGGAGAGGGGAGGAAAGGAGAGGAGAGGGGAGAAGGGGGAGTGGAGGGGAGGAGAGAGACATAAAATAGAAAAGGATCAACAAAGCCAAAAAGTGGTTCTTAAATTGATAAACTTCTGGGAGACTGATAAAGGGAAAAAAAAAGAGATGGAAAAATAGGCACGTTTAATAGAGACAGCAGGATTAAAAGGTGCCTATAACATGAAAGTTTAGAAGGAATGAGCAAATTCTGCAACACTAAATGACCAAACTGACTACAGAAAATTGGAATGTTTCTGTTACCATGAAATGAATTGAATCAGTTTAAACATATAGCCCAGTTTTCTAGCCAAACTCTATCAAGCATTCCAGGACAGATATTTACAGCCACAAAATCTTTTTTTTTAAAAAAGTCATTCCATTTATCTATCTATCTATCTATTTATTTATATGCAGTGCTGAAGATAGAACCCAGTGCCTCACATGGGCTAGGTAAGAGCATTGCCCCCAGCCCCATAAAATGTGGTATAGAAGTGAAAAGGCAATCTCACAGATGAACATAAAAACAAATATCCAAACTATTAAGAATGTATAAAAAATATGGGTGTAGAAATGACTGAAAGTTGTTGACAGGGTTTTTTAAAAAAAAATAATTATTATTCCAATTGTTTTTGTTTGTTTTTGCCTTGTAAACTAGTGCCAAAGAACTGTAGCAAATAAACTACAAACCTTCCCCCGCACAAAATATGTGTATGTATGTGTATATATATACATATGTGTGTGTGTGTGTGTGTGTGTGTGTGAGTGTGTATAAATACATATATTGAAGCTAAGTTGGGATGCACAGTGGATTCTACATCACAAAATTATTGTATTTTACCATAGTAACAACTTTACCACAGGTACAGAAAAAT